AAAGAGAAAGAGAAAATGCTCCCCAAATGGGATGTAGCGATGCCACGATCCCATCTCCATTTCTCCAACCTGTCAGATTAGGGGCGTGCGTGTGTGGTCTGTGTGTTTCTCAAGCTGCCAGGGCTGGGACTCCAACTATGGTCAGCCACGTGACATCCAGCTCCCCACGCACAGCACTTAACCACTGAGTTACGGGCCTGTCCCTCAAATTTCTCTTTTTATTTCAAAACTCCGGTTGGAGATCAAAAATTCCAGTTCAGACAGTAATAGTCTAGAGAATGCCAGAAGAAAGGGGCAGTCACCTCGTGTATAGTCAGCCCTGAGTATCAAAGGGTTCTGCATCTACAGGTTCAACCAAATCCAGACTGAAAGAAAAGTTTTTAAATTACTTTTTTGAACAAATTGAAAAAATTTGATATAACAATACACACAGCATGTACATTATCTTAGGTATTATAAGCGATCCAGAGATGATTTATGAAGATATGTGTAGGTCATATGCAAATACTACCCCATTTTATACAAGGGACCTGGGGACTGCAGATGTAAGCATCTGTGGGCTGTCCTAGGCCCATGCCTCCTAGGACACTGAGGGCTGACTGTATGTTGTGCCTCTTTGCCTGTCCCCCAAGGAGCCACAGAGGGCCTCTGTTGTAGCTCAGGCCAGGAGCCTTGCCTTCCTGCAAACCCCCTTCCGAGCTGCTATCCCAGAGAGTCCTGGGAGGTCCTCTCTGCAAAGGAGGAGACACAGGAACAGAAACCCTAGGTGGCAGAAGGACACTGAAGGCCATGGTGATCCTGGGGGCCATGGTAGTAATGGGGAGTATGGTGATACTGGGGACCATGGTGATGCTGAGGGTCATGGTAGCAATGGGAAATATGGTGACACTGGGGGCCATGGTGATGCTGGGAGCCACATGTGCTGCTAGAGATATGGTGATTTAAGGAACACAGTGATTCTGGGGATATGATGGTGCTGGGGACATGGGGACTCCAGAAACACAGTGGCATGTGAGGATTTAGTGGCTGGGGATCATAGAGTCCGAGAGATGTGGTGACTGGGGGTCACGGTGGTGCCAGAAGACATGGTGACTGGGGATTGTGGTGGTGCTGGGGAGACTCAGAGGTCCTGGGGACTTCATGGCACTTCCTTTTCCTCTTGGTCCCTCAGTCAGGGCCAAGAGGGATGTCCATAGTCACAAGTGAAAATGACAATTGAGGAGAGAGACAAGTTTGTCTATAGGGCAGGCCCTTTGTACCACTGCTTCTGGCAGCAGCAGGGATATTAGCGGGAGCTCTAGGAGAGCAGCTTAAAGGGATTAGTTGGTGGGAGGAGATTGAAGAAGCTAATTATAAAGCTGGTGCCAGAGATGAGAAAGGATTATAGAGCCTTTCTGAGCACCAAGATGTTGAAAATAAGAGAAGTGTTTTTCTCCTTAAGACAGACAGGACTAAATGGAGACCAAAGGTCAGAAAAGGAGCCGCAGGCCTGGCTGGGCCATAACTGGGCATTAACGGCCACACCAGGGAAGACCGTGGCCCCCTGGGGTGGTGTCTGAGCTCATGTCCTGTTCTAGTTCTACGAAGACGCCTCACCTGGTCAGAGCCGCTGAAGTGCCCCCTGACAGCCAGGCCTGGCCTTGGGATAGGCCTGTGAAATGTTGCTGCCATTCGTCGGTATGTATTTCCTGGCCCCTGCTCTGTGCCAGGGGCAGGGCTGGGCACCCTGGGGGGCATAGATTCTGCCTACAGGTTTTGGAGGGGTCGTCCAGAAGAGATGCAGGCCTGGGATGTAGGAACCGTCAGGGAAACTGCACTGAAAATGGGGATTTTACAGGTTTTGGGAGTGGGGCAAGGAAGACACCTGAAAAGGGTAGCTAAGACAGTGCGGAAGGGCAGGGGTCACCAAGCAGACAGAACCTCCGAATCAGGCAGTCTGGGTGGAGCAAAGAACTTTTGTGTGGGAAAGAAGCAGGCAGTGAGGCAGCCAGGAAGAACAGAAGCCCTCGAATTGTGGGGTAAAGGGCCTGACCTCTTTCTGCAGATCCTGAGGAACCACTGAAGGTTTTGGAGCACAGGAAAGCTGGGTTTCAGGACAACTCAGCCAGCAGGTGCACAGAGCAGAGCATAGTGACCTGGGACAGAAAGAGCAAGTGGGAGGATTTTGAAAGAGACCTGTGTGAGGCAATGGGGCTTCCCTACGGCGGCAAGGAAGAAGGAATAGGAATGAGCAGTGGGGTAGATGGCCTTGACCTCACCACCACTGGCCTGAGCCTCAGTCTCCCATGGCGGTGGCAGTAGGGTGGGCTATTCACTGATAGGGTTCATCACACAACTTGCAATAAATTTGGGGAAATGCGAGAGGCAGCTCTATTTTTCTCTAGAAGCAAGCTTTGCTGTAGAATAAAGAGAAAACGCATGGCATCAATTGGTGGCATCTTTGTTGGATGACCACATAGCACTCCAAGAGTCTTTGTCTTTATCCTGGGATCCAAGAGGTTTGGAATCAATGTCTTCTGTTCCAGCCCCTCACCTGATAGCTGGAGAAATGGAGTCCAGGGAGGTGGGAATATCCCAGAGGGGCCCATGAGAGGGGGACACGCTGCTCAGGTCCCCTACTCCTGCCCTACCTTCCTGCTGCTGAGCTTCATGATCTGCTTTCTATTTACCCACCTGAGGAGAAAAACTACGAGGTGTACTCAAAGGAGCTCAAGGTTGGGAGAAGAGGATAAGAGAAACAGCAAGAGGAAGGAAAAGAATATTTCTTTATTGATACTCATTCTATGGTAGATGCTTCATAGGTGTAAACTCATTTAATTATTGCAATTGCCATACGAAGTGACTTGGCTGCATTTTATAGATGAGGGCCACCAGAACACGTGCTAAGACTCCTGGGCCATGTAGAGGTGGGGTTGGGATTTGAACTCAAGTTTGTCTGATGTCAAATCTTGATCTTCCTTCTATGCAAATGGTTAAGCCACTTTAGCATAGTCAAAGGGATCAAATTTGGAGTGGGCGGGAAGCACCTCTATAAAGGAGGATGCTTTCTATTTACCCACCTGAGGAGAAAAACTACGAGGTGTACTCAAAGGAGCTCAAGGTTGGGAGAAGAGGATAAGAGAAACAGCAAGAGGAAGGAAAAGAATATTTCTTTATTGATACTCATTCTATGGTAGATGCTTCATAGGTGTAAACTCATTTAATTATTGCAATTGCCATACGAAGTGACTTGGCTGCATTTTATAGATGAGGGCCACCAGAACACGTGCTAAGACTCCTGGGCCATGTAGAGGTGGGGTTGGGATTTGAACTCAAGTTTGTCTGATGTCAAATCTTGATCTTCCTTCTATGCAAATGGTTAAGCCACTTTAGCATAGTCAAAGGGATCAAATTTGGAGTGGGCGGGAAGCACCTCTATAAAGGAGGAGAGACAGGAAATGCAAGCCCTGAGTTACCGTCTCACTTCTCTCTTCCTTTGACTGTTGTAGCTACCTGGGCCTCTACGCCATGAACAGCACCTTGAAGGATGCCCAGGCCCCAAACCACCGTGAGTGCCTTCTGCCCTCGGTGGCTCGCACCCCCTCTGTCATCCAGGTCACGCCAGCCAAGAAGATAACCTTCCTCAAGCGAGGGGACCCCCGGTTTGCTGGGGTTCGCCTGGCTGTCAACCAGCGCACCTTCAAGACCTTTAGCGCCCTGATGGATGAGCTCTCTCAGCGCATGCCTCTGTCCTTTGGGGTGCGCTCAGTCACCACGCCCCGGGGACTTCATGGCCTCAGCACCCTGGAGCAGCTGGAAGATGGGGGCTGCTACCTCTGCTCTGATAAGAAACCCCCCAAGACCCCCAATGGGCCAAGCCGGCCACAAGGGAGAAGCCCCTCTGGTCATCAGTCTCGGGATTTGGAAGGCCAGCGTGAGACACCAAGAACATCCTCTTCCCGGAAGGGTCCTAAAGTCCCAAGGAAGATAAAGTTGATTAAGAATGGGGACCCTAGATTCCAGGGAACAGTGGTTCTCAGTCATGGAAATACTAGGAACCTGGCAGCCTTTGTCAGCAAAGCCTCAGATGTTCTGCGCTTTCCTGTGAAGCAGGTGTATACTGTCAGTGGGAAAAAGGTAGGCTGCTAGAGTCCGATATTCCCTTACAAATGTTCTTCTTAAATGGAGGTCAAAATACTTAAATGGAGTGGAGTGATTATGCCTTATAAAGAGGCACTTGGTCACCCTGCTACTATTGGGTTGTAGGAAAAGTCATGACACATTTTTGCATAGAAAACAGAAAAAAATATGTCATGACATTTCTCACAACGCAGTAATTTAAAATGAATAGGGTGAAGACATTCAATCAAGACAATTAATCAAATAAACAATTGCTGTTGAGCTTTTTGGCTACCATTAGCAAGGGCCTAGTAGTGCCAGACCCCCCACCTTGTCTTGCACACTCTCATTAGTTTCCTATCTAGTCCTCTTAACTACCAATTTCTGTGAGAGCTCAGTGCAGGAAACAAACTACTTAAGGAAGCTTAACAGAAAGTGATTTAATACAGGGCATTAGAGGGCTTCTGAATCTTTGGAAAACTGGAAAGTAAACTCGAAGCTGGTTTAGCAGGAAACTACTGCCTCTGCGGGAAGTTGCTATGATTATTGAATTCAATAATTCTTCTGTGTAGCTGGCAACTCAGCTAATAACACTGGTTTCAGAAAGTCACCATAGCTGCATCTTGACACCCAGGATCACTGGGAACCGAGTCTAACCACTATGGCTTCAGCTGCCATCACTTCCTGATACCCACGCACTTGCATCATTGCATCAGATGGGAACAAGAAGAGATGAGTGTGTCTCACGTATGTCTTCCCAACCATGAGTAGATGCACTTATTGATGGAGAATTCAACTGCATCCAGCCCTAACTGTGAAGAAGGCTAATGAATACAATTCTTGCCTTGAGACTCCACAGTGGGCAGAATAGAGAATGGAGATTGACTAATCTTTTTTTTTAAAAAAATAATTATTTTATTTAACGTTGTTTATTTATTTATTTATTTATTTATTTATATATTTTAATAGAGCGAGAGAGGGAGAGAGAGAGAGAGATAAAGAAAGAAAGTAAGTCTCTGTAGCAGATGGTCACAATGCAATCCCTTGTCCTTTATCTCTAGCTCTTTTTGGAAACTTGGGCACACATGCACACTTGCCCGCTGTGCTTAGCCCCTGGATTTGGGACTCAGATTATGCAATTAGCCCCGTGGGATCTACTTGCCTTAACCACCACACCACCAGCTGCCCCCCTCATGGTTTTAATTACTGATATAGGGCAATTTAGATACTCTGTTTTTTACTTTATTTATTTATTTATTTTAATTTGACCAGAGAGGGACAGAGTGAGATAGATAGAGAGAGAAAGTAAGTAAGCAAGCCACCAGTTCTGGGACTCAAACTGCGATTGGCTATGTGAGAGTACAACAACACCCTTAACCATCATGCCACCTGCCAGCCCCAAGATTGACTATCTAATTCCCAATCTCCTTACAATCTAATTCTCTAGTTACTTAACATCTGTATACACCATTCCACCAAGATTCAAATTTACCAACGCCAGCTATAGCGACATGGTCCCACCTGATAATATGGCTCACCCTCTGGCAACCAGAAACAAATTCATCTTCTCGCCCAAAGTTGCGCCATCACTGTACCATTGTTTCCTGATTCCGTCACAATTCCACCTTGATACCCTCTATCTTAAGGTCTATCAAGTCCATGACTATCAAAATACTTTCTATAAAATAGTATAGGAAATTAAGAGCAAGAAATAAGAGATTCAGATTGATACCTGGCAGAGCTGTGAAGAGAATTAGGCTATCTAATACAATATCTAATTAGGCTATCTAATACAATATCTAGTTAGGCTGTCTAATACAATGTTGGTATTTAAGATTTCCTTCTACTAGGTATTTCATGTTCCTCTTGCTTTCTGCCAGTACCTAGTTGATTGCAGTTATGTACCTGGCAGGGTCTGAACCCTTGGAAGGCCTCCCTATATGGACCTGTGTTAGTTTTTACCACTGAACATGGCAGCCATAGAAAGCACCCCAGTGGGTTCCCTGGAGAATAGATGACTTCCTTTTGATCCTCTTTATGTGAGAAGAACTCTATTCCCCAGCATGTGGCATGGTGGTTAAAGCAGTTGGATTCCCACATGGTCAACCATGGTTCAAGTCCCCTTGACAATCAGAACCAATCATGCCCTCCAATACAGAAACCTCCTTGTGGCCAGTTAGTTCATTGTCATGAGGAATCCACCTACCGGCTGACTTGACTTTCACCTCTGCTGCACCATTATGCACTCCTGTGGGTCCTGAGACATCCAAACCACACCATAACCCATGAGGGCTACTTTTATTCAAAAACTGATTTTACAGCAAAATAAGTGACATAATGGGATTCCCTGTGTAACCAGCAGAGCACAAAGTTGGTAGGATAGAAAGAAAAATATTTTCTGCTAAGTCATAGGTGTAACAGTGAAGAAGCAACTGCCATGTTCACTATTTAACTACCAGGTATCTGTAGTCCGTGGTGAAATAGCACCACATATCATTTGCCAGTTCAGAGCACATGTCCAACCCTGCAAGACAACACTTCAACATCATAAAGTGATGTCTTCCAGTTGGTGCACAAGATAAGTCTTCCATAGACTATTCCACTGTTCTGTAAATTATGGTTTTTGGGGATGACAGGGTATATGGTTACACTGGGAGTTCCATGGGTGTTAGCCCATTGTCTCCTATATTTTGCTCTAAAATCAGTTCTTTAGACAAAAGTAATTTTCATGGTGGTAGCAATGCTGCATAAGGCATTCAGTGCATCCATGGAAGGTAATACTGGGAGAATGATGATGGACAAGGAACAAAATCTATATTCAAAATAAGTGTCTATGTTGATAGATGCAAATTACTGAGCTTCCCCTCCAATAGAGTTCAATGTTATTAGCTTCTCGTCAGGTGTCTGGCTGAGTCTCTCAAGACCTGATGCAAATCACATGTTTATCATTGGTCTCTGCTCTTGGTAGATCAGATCCTGAGTAGAGGTAGAAACTAGGTTTACATAAATGAAGTGGCATTGATATTGCTAGTTCATTCTACTTTTCTTGTCTTTTTAGAGAGATTTTTGCCATAGGGCATGTGTGCTCGCCAGAGAGACTGACGGAAAGAATGCAAGAAATCACCCCCCAAGACAGATAGACACACACAATCCCTTCTCCTCCATTCTCCTTTCAGGATTTTGGGCACACATGCACACCCTCCTGGCATGAGTTTCAAGCCACCAGGTCTGGGACTCAAACCACAGTTGGCCCCCATGTGGGGGTCCAGAAGCATAACCATTATAACAGCTGTTGGTCTCCTAGTTCATGCTACTTTTCTACTTGGTTCATGAGCTAATTGGGTATGCCCTGGGATAGTTGTAAAAAGAGGATGACTGACATCCACTGCATGGGTCAGTTTGTCAATGTGATTATCACCTTCTGGTGAACATTGACATGGGACACAAATGTTTTCACCCTCTGGGCCAGACCTGAGAGATCCATTCACAGATTCTTCTCCAGACTTCCTTGTCATCAATCTTCTAGTCTTGTTTCTTCCAATTCCCTGATTGTCACATTAAGCCATAATGTGACAGTGCTAAAGAACTTGTCACCATTGCTCCTTCAATGGAAGATATTCAACCAAATCACATTGTCCCCTGGACTTTTTTTCCTCATGTCCTCATAGCCCACCATGCGTTTGTAATGCTTTATAAGCCAACTTTTGGTCATGTCAGCATGTTCTATGCAACTCCCTGACACCCAGAATAAAATAATAAGATATTTTCTTCTTCAGCTAACTAGTCATAGAGAATGCCTTCAGGAAGTCACAAGTGTGTGCTGAGGAAAGGCAGCTGTGTAGCAGAGCTGGTGAACTGGGAGTGTGAGCTACCTGCTCAAGCAACTACTTATGCCTTATTTCAAGTTCTTGAGCCTGATCTATTACATATCATCTCCCCTGAAGATCAAGAACTGCTTCAACACGCCTTGTTTATGGCCTTATGATTATGTACCATCCAGCTTAGTTGTATTTCAACAATCATCATAATGAATTTCTGCAACTGAGTTTTGGCTACAGGAGAAAAGAAGTTCTTTGACAGTAGTTATACAAGCTCCCATGCCCTTTGGCCACCCCTGAACTCAGAATTTAGCTTGCCATTTTTTTTTTTTAAGTCAAAGAGGTCAACCCATTTGGCTACAGGAGAAAAGAAGTTCTTTGACAGTAGTTATACAAGCTCCCATGCCCTTTGGCCACCCCTGAACTCAGAATTTAGCTTGCCATTTCTTTTTTAAGTCAAAGAAGTCAACCCATTCCATAGTCCTTGTAATTCTTATTCTGTTTTTAAGAGTCTATTATAGCAACTGGTGGTGAGTCAAAGTTCATACTACTTTCTACTATCAAAGGAATCAGTAAAAAACTTACTTTGTCACTATGGACCATGGGCTAGTAATATCCCACAAATACCAGGTTATTACTACTTTCAGATCCAACCAGGTCAGATAACTAATCCCAGATTCCCATTCTTTAAGGTCTATTGCCTGTACCAACCCTGATATAATGTGCTGCAACAGCTGTGGCTCAGTACAGAAAGCAGGACCCTCTCCAAGAATCTCAAGCAGGAAGGATTTACACAGAGAGTTTGATGCTCAAGATTCCTTGAACGGCTGGAGGAGAAGGATGGGTTCCTGGAAAATAGTCCCAGAATAGTACAGAATTGACCTGTTGGGGTAGCCACTTCTAACAATCAAGACAGTGGATTATTGGGGCATTGTCACTGGAATTATTGAGTTCAGTATCATTCAACATTGCTGTGTTTCAGAACGGGGAAGGTAATATGCCACAACTGTCTGTTGATAACCTGATGCCAGTGGGACAATGAGTGTGTCTTTTGCTGTCTCAACTGCATATGCTTTTTTATACTTTTGACTTTTTTTTTTTTCCTTGGTGGGGGGCAACAGTTATGGCAACAGTTGAAAGCAAAAGGAAGATGGCTTCTGCCTCACTACCATGTTCTACTTCTTGTACAAGGGCATTGAATTGGTGGAACCTATTTCAAATTTAGAACCCTAGCTGCAAGAGAGTCCAGGAAATGGGTTTTCAGCTTTCTAAGCTCTGCGGTACTGAAACGCACCAAAAAGAGAATAGGATGGAGGTGGATCAATCTAGGGCACAGCATCTACCATGTAAGCTAATAGGGTAGCCAATACTATTACTATTTGTAGAAATGAAAAATTGAGGCACAGAGATTAAGTAATTTTTTTTTAGAGAGGTTTTTGCTATAGGGTGCATGTGTTCACTGGAAAGACAGAGAGACAGAAAATGAATGGAGATGGCCATGCTACAGTCCCTTCTCCTCCATTCTCCTCTTGAGATTTTGGATACACATGCACACATACCTGGCTTAAGTTTTAAGCAACTGGATCCAGGATTTGAACCACAGCCAGCCATATGGGAGTCCAGCAATGTAACCATTACACCATCTGCTGATCCCAAGATGAAGTAATTTGCTCATCATTACATGGCTAGCAAATTATAGAGCCAGAATTAATTACTTCAAAGCCACAATGTGAGAATGCTTTTGAATTATTATGCATTTGCCACGTACTAGCATGTATGTAAGAGTATGTAGAGTTAAGTACACAGGAAAAAAGGCAAGGTCCATACCTTCAGTTAGCTCACAGTTCAGTAGGTATGGTGAAGGAGAGGAAACAGGCACAAAATGAGGTAATTGAAGAAAAAGATATTAGGGTATTTTTATACAGATCTACTGCATAGTTATGAGGGTGTCTGTAAATAACCTCATTGCTCTCCAGGAAGGACTGTCTTGTGAGTCCTTTACTAGATAGATATTTCTTTTTTCCCCCCATGGATCCTAGATTCCACCTCTTCCTTGGGATGCCATCATCATTTTGTCCTCAATCATTTCTTGTTTTATGCAGTCTGATACCCTAAAAGCCTGGCTAAATCTGGTAAATTGTTGGAGCTGGGTTATGTTTATATTTTTGTAATGGACTAGAAATCTGAATCAAAGCAGAAATACACATGGGCCAGGCAGTGGCGCAGAGGGAACCCAACTGGACCCACATAGGAAAGGTACTTGGCTCACCTGCTTGGGCCTCCCTGGCACACTGGGTGTGTGTATGTCCCTGTGATTCTGGCCAGCTCAGACTGGGGGGTGGATTGCAGTGTGAGGACCTTGTCGGGAGTGTCTCTCTTGCATGTGCATAGAAGAAATAAGTAAATCAACTTTAAAAATTAATAAATATACTTAGCAGTTTAAAACTAATTTCAAATGAACTGAACTAAAAGATCTGATATGAGAAATTCATGTCATTCTGGAGGAAGAATTCTTTCTTTCATTTCCTTCTTAATGATCATGTCCTTTTAAGTTGAAAAAATGAAAAAGAACACATTCTGCATTTTAAAGATGAGAAGGTATCCTCCAACCTTAGTAATTACATGTAATGCTCTCAATAGTGCAATTTTTCAGGCATGCAGGGCTCTCTTGGGTCAGATGTGACTTTCTAAATTAGGGACCTATTTCCTAGCACAGACTCTAGCAGTGATGTTGGCTGCTCCATTCTGCACCCAGAAGAGAGCAGGGGGACGTCCTACTGGTGGGTTGGGAGGACAGGGTCAGGAGCCTAGAGACCATTGTGGGAGTCTGGAGGGAAAGGGCCCACTGTGAGGAGAGTAGAGCCTTGCCCCTTTCCACTCCACTCTACTAGAGAAGAAACCGAGACAATGGGCTTGGAATATACTGGAAAACAGGAACTGGACACCAGAGAGGACCCTCCAGCTGGGACAGGATAGGACAGTGAATCAATTCTCCATGTAGAAGCTGAGGGTTTTCTGCTTTGGTTGCTTTAGGAACTACATATTCCAGAAGGTAGACATGTGGGCAGAGAAGCAGCCTGAAGGCTCTGGAGTCTTTTCCACCTGAAGCATCTAGAGTGAGCTTCAGATCACACCTAGTGGAGAGAGGCCTGTAGGTAGAGAGGGGACCATGGTGGTAGGACCTCAGCCTCTGGCTAGTAACGGAGGTGTTATGGGGAATGGGTGGGATCCTTCCTTGGATGAGAAATCAGGAAGGAGCTTGAAAAAATGATTCTCCCTCCACCTGGGCCTTCCCAGGCAGAGGGGCTCTGCAGACCAGCCCTCCTGACTCAGTGCTCTCCTTCTTCAGGTGGACTCTCTGCAGAGCCTGCTGCGCAGCCCCTCCATCCTGGTGTGTGCTGGTAACGAGGCCTTCAGACCTCCAGCAATGAATGAGGCTGGGAAACACGGGACTGAGGTGTTGTCTGGGCCAACTTCAAGGAACAAAATCGGTGAGCCTGTTAGGGCTTTCCTCAATCTGATTAGCACTTGGTGGTAGTTCAGAGAGGTTGAGAAGATATTCCTTCCCAAGAATGCAGGAAACCTGCCTTTGGCCCCAATTTTTGGGAATCCCAATCATTTTACAGTCTCTCTTATTTTCTTCCTTCTCATCACCACCAACCTTAACCAGGTCAACCATTTGATAGGGGTACAAGAGAGCAGAGTCTGGTAATTAAAGGGAACAGGGATTAAGAGGTCTCAAATTTGAAGTTTCTTGGGTCTAAAATATTGATAACTTTTATTAAGAATCATGGTGGGAATGGCATCAAGGAGGCCACAGGCATGCGTATGTGGTATTTACATACTGTGAGAGTCCTGACCGTCTTAGGAACCATGGCGGCCTGCAGAGGGGTCACCAATGACCATCGGTCATCCATCCATCTATACATCCCATCATATCTCTGTCCAGAAAGCATACAGTGTGCCACGGTCTAGGCTTTATTTACACACACACATTAGTATAAAAAGCACAATGAACAAATGCAAAAGAAAAGTTTAAGCAGAAGCATTGGAATGGCAATGGTCACGTTTTGGTAAACAAAGCACTATCCTTAGTGAATAGCTGTTAAGAAACCATCACCACCATCGCCACTGGTTTTGGTTTCTGTTTTGGTGATTGCTATTCACCGGGTCCTCCAGGTACAAAGACACATTAGCTCCCTCCCTAGAGGAGACCCCAGTCTCATTTGGTGCTGATGGGGCGGGGGGAGGCAGGGGTTATGGAGAATGGGTGGGATCCTTGCAAAGCCTTCCTCTGCCTAAATGTGCTCATGGGGTTGGTCTTTTGCCAGCCATAGGCTCTGCTCCTGTGGGTGCTGCCAGTGGCAAAGAATGAGCTCAAGAGAAGAAATGAGAAAGACCTTTGAGGCATCATTCTTTCTTAGGGCCACTTCTTTCTACCTCCAGCAGCCCCTTCTTTTTCTCATCTTCATGACTAGAAGGCATGACTGGGGTGTAGGTTTGACTGTCAGGACCTAATATTGCACCTCCAGGTCCTTTCTTGCCATCTGAGTTCTATTTTTTTTTTTAGAGATTTTTGCCATAGGGCATGTGCACTCATCAGAGAGTCAGAAAGCAAGAAATCACCTCCCAGGGCATTGGCCACACAGCAGTCCCTTCTCCTCCATTCTCCTCTTGGATTTGGGGCCTGCACATACATAGGCCCAGCATGAGTTTTAAGCCGCCAGGTCCAGGACTTGAACTGCGGTCGACTATGTGGGAGAGTCCAGCAATGTAACCATTATGCTATCTGCTGGGCCTGCCATCTGAGTTCTTGATAAAATCCCTGCTAATCAAACACTTGACAGTTTCCAAACCAAGTTCATGACTTGCGTCCAGTGCCGGCCGGGCATGAGACAGGTAGGAGTGAGCTCTGGGCACCACTGTCCCCCTGCCTGCCCACCATGCTATCCCTCAAGGCCCTCCTCTATGACAGCAGGAAGTTTTATGTGCCTGGCTGCCTATCATCAGAATGAACACGTGAAATCCATGCCATTATGCTTATTTTATAGTCCAGAAAGCAAGCTCTGCAGAAAGCTAGGCAGCAGAGAGGAAGCAGAGTTGAGAGTGAATTCAGACCCAGTTCACACTGCAGGGCTATGCCACTGTAAAGGCCGACAGCTCCGTGGATTGCCATCCTGGACTGCCTGCCACCCTGGCAGTGTGGCTCGGGAGGCAGCAGTGGTGTGTGGCGGGGGGAAGCTCTCTGAGCACTTGACTCTGACTCGATGTTCCCCACACCCCGTGACTCATTGCTTTTTCCTTTCTCTTACCGCCCCCCCTCCCCCACTGCTGACCAGGGAGCTGGGGGCCCAAGGCCCAGCAGAGCGTGATCCACTCGAGGTCCACGTCGGGCAGCAGGCCTCGGTGGTTTTCCTTGCTGTCAGAGAAGCCTGGTGTCAGTGACGCCCCCAGGTCCCTGCATCGGGCCTGGGTGGGCCCTGCCCTTGACAGGCACCCTCAGGACACGTCTGCCCAGCCCCAGCCTGGCGCCTTGGTGGCCGGCGATGACATGGAGAAGAAGGTCCACGTGAACGAGGACGGCAGCCTGTCTGTGGAGATGCGGGTCCGCTTCCACCTCCTCGGGGACGACATGCTCCTGTGGTCCCGCAGGCTGGGGAGGGCAAGTGGCCTCACGGCAGCCGGGGGAGCAGATCCTGGCCTTGGGGAGGCAGACGACGTCCGCTGTATGTGGCAGGGCCACCCTTGGGGCTTTGTGGAGCCTGGGGCTCGGGGACAGCGACCCTGTGAGGCAGGATGTGACACAGCCTTTGACCGAAGCTGCCAGCCAGGGCCCAGGTGTGAGATCTGGACGAACCCTCTGTACGCCACCCAGGATGAGGACCCAGCTTCTAGGAGTGGGGCTGGGCGGGCCCAGCACTCCTGCTGCAGGGGTCCCTGGAGCCCAGGGGCTGCTGGTGGGGACAGAAGCAGCCAGGACAGTGGCAGCCTGGCCTCCAGTGCCAGGTGCTTTGAAGGCTCTGAGCCGGACTCCTCCTGCTGCCCCAGAAGCCTGGAGGGCAGTGTGGGCAGTGTCAGCCTGCATCAGGCCTCAGCAGCTGCTTCCCAGAGTCAGGCAGCAGGAGAGGGCCCAGGTGAGGGGCCCAGCTCAGAGCCGGAGGGAGCAGAGCCAGGCAGCCAGGACCAATGCAGCTGCCTGACACCTGGGAACCAAGGCGTGGAAGGGGCTCTTTCGGACCCATCTGCCAGGGCCAGGTCTTGTGCAGAGCCCAGAGAACGGGGTGAACAGCACCAGGGCTGTCTGGGCAAGTCAAGGGCCAGGGCACCCCAGCAGAAGGCCACCCAGGGAGACGGCTCCGGCTCTCCCACTCCAAGCCCCTCGTCCTTGAGGAATGAGGGCCTACAGAAGTGTGGACAAGTCAGTGAGCACCACCAGGCCAGGAGTGGGTCTATAACAAGACTGTCCCTGGCTCTGAGCCACCCCAGCTCTTGGGACACTGAGGGGGGCTCTCTCCCGCTTTCCGCCTATGCCTCGGCCCAGCAGAGGAGCCCAGCTAGTGCCATGTCTTCTCCCAATGTCTCTGACCTTGACCAAGTGGCCCTGAGAGGCCATCCTGGGAAGTGTTGCCATTGCAGGGACACCTGCTGCCCCCTGGACTCACCTGCAACGCAGCAAGTGCCCAGGCCTCCTGACAGAGGAGGGGCCTGCGCACACAGCCCTGCGCTGCGGTCAGAGCGCTCGCCCAGCAACAGGAGACAGGCCTCCAGGGCCCTGAGGCCTCCCTCCTCAGGCTCCCTGCATTCCCAGGACCTCCCAGGGGTCAGCAGTGCCACCATCACCCCTGTAAGTAACTCTGACTGTGCTTCTAGTTTCTACCGCCCTGATGCTCCCTCCGCTGCCCCCTCAGCTGACACCTGCCAAGGAGAAAAGGCAAGAGCCACCCCTGAGCCAGCCTCGTCCTTGGCTCTGCTGGTCAGACAGGCTGCTGGAGGGGAACCGAGAGCCCACCGAGGCTGCTGCTGCTCACAGATCAGGACGCCTGGTAAAACGCGGGTGCTGTGGGGACCCCACTCTGAGGCCTGCTGGGTGTGCAGTGGGTACTGCCCCATGCCCCCCAGGGGGCGGCCCTGTGCCAGGAAGCGGCCTTCTAGCAGCAGCAGCAGCAGTAGCAGCGAGCTCAGGGCTGACCAGGGGCCGGGCGGGGGTGAGCAGGGGCAGGGAAAGCTCCAGGTGGGGCGCTCACTGCCCAGGGCTGTGGACAGAACAGCCAGGGCTGCGAGGAGGAGCAGCCCCAGCGCTGGCACTGGACCCAGGGGGGTGTTTCGTGGTAGGAGCCCTGGTGGGGGCCACAGGATTAAAGAGCAGGAGGAAGAGGGTAGCATGATGCCAGGTGCCCTGCCCCACACCTCGCCAGACGCCATGGTCCGTGAATGGCTGGACAACATCCCAGAAGAGCCTGTTCTCATGAAATACGAGATGATAGATGAGACCCCCAGTGTGGCCGGGGATGGCTTGGAAGGCCCTGAGGAGGACCTGGGTGACCAACACTCTCTAGAGGGCCTAGGAGAGCTAGTTCAGGCTAGGCAACAGCCCCTGGAAGGGGATGCGGGTGACAACCCAGAGCCAATGACTGCTGATGCTGGTTCCAGGTCAGGAGATGGTCCTCCCCAAGTTGCAGCTACAGATGGTGATTTTGACACCCCCCTGGAGGCTGGAGCAGGTGAAAAGTTTGCCATGTGCTGTGGGGTGACCCAGTGTGAGCTTCCTGGCAGGGTGTCTGCCTCCACTCAGATCATGAAGGCGCTGATGGGCTCCAAGCAGGGCCGGCCCAGCAGCCTGCCTGAAGTGTCCAGTGTGGTGGCCAGGAGGCTCAGCCGCTCAGCCAGAGCCCTCATCACCTGTCTCGCCAGGCTCCACCTCTTTGATGAGGATTTGGGGTCTCCAGGTGGCAAAGCGAGGTTCACCAACTCCCCTCGGTACCAGGAGCTGCTGAACATCTCTCAGGCCCTGTGGCCAGGCTATGGCCTCGACCAAGGCCAGCTAGACTCAGACCTCTGGGAACTGGCACCATGCCAAGCTCTTCCAGGCCTAGGGTCCCATGCTGTGACCGAGGACTTCACAGCAACGTCCTCCTCTGGTGTGGATGTCAGCAGTGGCTCTGGCGGTTCTGGGGAGGGCAGCGGACCCTGTGCTGTGGACTGTACCCTAGTCCCTGAGAGGGTAGAGCTGCCCCTGGAAACCTCCTACCAGAGACCTGATTCCAGAAGCTCAGAAAACCCAGAGGATCTGGAAAATCACCAGTCAAATTGTTCCACTGTCTCTTCTAAGTCCCAAGCAAGTGCTTGTGCCTCCAGTGAGGAAGAAGGAGAGAGAGATGGCGGGGAGCAGATGCTGGACAATAACTTAGAACCCCCACAGATGCTGGATGAAAACCTGGAACCCTCCCAGGTGTTGGATGATAACTTGGAATCCTTCCAGGTGTTGGAAAATAACCTAGAACCCCCCCAGGTGTTGGATGATAACCTGGAATCCCCCCAGGTATTGGAAGATAACCAGGAATCCTCCCAGGTGTTGGATAATAACCCAGAATCTTCCCAGGTGTTGGACGATAACCTGGAATCCTCCCAAGTGTTGGATGATAACCCGGAATCCTCCCAGGTATTGGACGATAACCAAGAATCCTCCCAGGTGCTGGACGATAACCAGGAATCCTCCCAGGTGTTGGACGATAACCCGGAATCCTCCCAGGTGTTGGACGATAACCACGAATCCCCCCAGGTCTTGGAGGATAACCACGATAACCAGGAATCC